GGTGCTTCTACTAAATACTGAGCAAAGGGTCTGAATACTTATGACCATGTGATATTTCAGTTTTTCTTTTTTAATAAATCTGCAAAAATGTCAAAAATTCTGTGTTTTTCTGTCAATATGGGGTGCTGTGTGTACATTAATGAGGAAAAAATGAACTTAAATGATTTTAGCATATGGCTGCAATATAACAAAGAGTGAAAAATTTAAGGGGGTCTGAATACTTTCCGTACCCACTATATATGCAAATTGCACTGCCAGCTTATTTGGCAACATGTGTTGGTTCATTTCCAAATCCTTGCGATCCTCCAAACATTTTTTTTCACAAAGGTGCACAAGAAATAATCTCAAGATTCAACTGCAGATGAGAACCAAATGTCATCTTATGCTGAGGTTCGCTTCCAGATTGCTTTGGCCAAGAAGGCTTTGACGAGACCAGACAAGCGAGAGTGGGCAGTGAGATCCATTACTAATTCTGTGGTATCAAGGTGCGGTTTCATGGGATTTTGGCTCAGCTCTGGTGGTTTGTTTACTCTCTATACCCTGGACACACAGGGCCAGGGCAGAGGATCAAAGGCTAGTCAGTGTGGTCTGTTGCTGCGTACATCATAGGGAGTGGTGCGGCCGTTGACAGTCTGGACATGTATATGAACACACACATATTAAAGAGACACACGGGGGAAATGTTCCTCCCTTGTCTCAACTGCTCTGGACAGTGTCATGAAAGGTAAAATGCTGGCCAGAAAACAACTTCAGCAAAAGAAACACTTGGGATTTTATTGAAGGGGGAATGTGACATTTGGTTGATGAAGATTAAGTTTCACAAAAAGATTTTAAGATGGATTTACATTTGCAGGACAATGAAAGATATTTACACAATAGTATAAAAGAAATGAAAGTACCAACAGTACTTTTGAAATACCACTCACATCAGTGTAATGGCCAGTGGAGATGCGGTGTGTCATTCCTAAAACAGCTGTTGCTGTTTCTTCCCCTGAGTGCATTTTCTCTAAGTGTAGCTGAAGGAATAATTTTTAGACGATCACACAGAACTGATCTCATGGGTCCACATCAATCCTGTAGAAGAAGGAGTTTACCAGTGCAACTTACAGTAAAAAGTGCGTATTGGGCTAGTTTTCTCATAGTGATTCATGTAAGTTTGACATTGTTAGAGGCCTTCTCACAATTTGTTGTGGTCCAGAATTCTGTAGAATACTTGATTCACCAGGCAAAAGAAAGAAACCTCAGAAAATGTGTCTGTTTCAAGCACAACCCAATTTAAACCAGCATCCCAGTGAAAGGGTTATAAATGTGCAGTTGATGGCTACATGCATGCATTCTCAGGCTAAAGGCTGCATATCCCAGACAAAATGTCAGTCAAAATCTGACTTTTATTTCATTCTAACCTAACCCCTTTTCATTGTTTCAGTAGACCAGCATGCCCGGACAAGGACTAGCAATAGGCTACAGGTTCAAATTATGTTTTAACATTTCTATTTTCACACAGTATGTTTCACTTTGGCATTACACATGAAAAAGCCTTCCCGATGAGGACTAACCACTTTGTTTCTGGAATAAGTAGTTTGGCTGGTGATACTAAAGTATATTCCCAAAACAAACAGCAGGACATATTCCACTACACAGGGGATGTACTATCTTCAAAAGTTTAAAACATGGCCTCTAACCACATTAACTAATGTAGTATGCAGTTCTACTTTGCCTTTGAAGTAGCACTGTGTAAAGTTACTAAAGTGGGTAGTAAGTGGGTTAGCCAGATATGCTCATGTATTCAGCTTTTGTTAGAGTAGACAAACATGCTGTTTTATGACTTCTGCACTTTTCCTCTCATCTTTTTGGTTTTGGAAAGGTTGTGAAAAGACAATACAATCCAAACGGCTTCATTGTGAGCTTGCATGCCTTATTTTTTACATTTTTCTTAGGGATGATGGACTGCAACAAATTCTTAACTGTGCCCACCCACTCAAAAGTGTATTTGATGGACAAATGCTGAGTACAGGTACAACTAGGAGCCCCCACCAAAGCTACCACTGCACAGATAAAGCAGGAGCTTTGCAGAATAAAACAGATGCCTGACTCCAAAGGAATAATTGCATTTATCTAAATGCCTTTGGCAGCTGCTGCTGATGCATCAGTTCCTTCGTGCCTCTATTCTGAGTATTCCCTTGTACTCTCTTAGCAATGGTCTGAAGTATCAGCCAAATTCTTGCAAATAAAGTGGACACTGCTGACAAGTTGTGCCTTGATTTATGAGCAGAGAGAGGTATAGCTGAG